ACCGGTGAAATATCGGGATAGCATAAACAATTATCGACCCACAATACCGGGACAGTTCACGCAGAAAATGTTTGTTAAAATGTAGCGTATTAATAACATAATTTATTAGACTTGTATCGCGCGACTAGAATATATTCGTACCGAAGGCAAAATATTACATATGACGGTAATGAAGGAATAGTTTGATCGGATGTATTTTTTAACCTGATTATTTCTCCTTTCTCTCTCGACTCTGGGGAAATCGCGGTCACGATGAGTCTCGTTCATTCGGAGTTCGTCCTCGAGCGCGGGCGGTCTAATTGGCGGATCACGACATCGACATCGCGCATAACATTGACATTGATTGTCGCGCCACTTCCGCCGCTCTGATATCGCGGCGGAACGGGAAAAGGAGGCGAAAATTGACCTGTAATGGACGCGCCCTATTACCAGGCGTACATGGAAAACCTTTCACGCACCATCCAATTACGCGTCCACCGCGCGAGAAATGATTGATCAATGCCGCAAAAGTGCGGCTCTGCGGTATTGCTTTATGCGTTACGATGATATCATCATGATATATTGCGCGAACGATGTTAACGCTCAATTATTATTTACTTAAATGTAGTGTTTTTTCTTTTCACCGCGGAAAAATCATTTTCCCAATAAGTGTTACTATAATGTCAGAGATAATATATATATTAAATAAAAAAAAATGATAATAATTTTGGTGGAGTTTCTCCCGCTGTAATTGCGCAATTAATCTTATTTTCGAAATCGAGCGTAAGCAACGAGGGATTCATAAAGCATCGAGTGACTCGTTTGCGACCGCGTCAAAGTCGATTAATCGTCGCAAATGAATTCAAGGACGTGTTGTCGATCGCGCGACGGCTGAATCTCCTTAAAAAGATTTAGAACGAGGACACGGCTCGTGCGCTCGATATACAGGGAAACGCGGGTCGGGCAAGAGTTATTTTCATTATTACTTATACTTGCGCCGGCCACTTGATCTAATGGAAGCTATATTCCATATTTAGCGGCTCATTCGGTCTGCGTTTCGTTCATCAACCTCGACGTCGCGCCGAAGACACGTCGTTACGATATGAATATGAGACTTTGATACACACGCCCACTGAACTACTTTACTTCTTTCGATAATTTGCGAGCTCCTTGCGATTACGCGCAGGCATATTTCTACGATTTCTCATACGTAAAGATTGACGTCTTTCTTTTGATAAATTGTCCCCATTTTTTATTCGTTAAGAATTCTTCGTTACTCACTTTTCACTTCTCACTTGCGAGCTCACGGAGGACGAGACCGAGCAAATCGAGAAACGATGATCCATGTAGTCGCGCGGCAAAACGGTTTCTTTATTTATCGGGAATTCCACGCTTAATCGACGCGCCAAGGTCTCGGTTGTTTTCCATTTCGTGAGAGACCGAACGTGACAAAGAAACGTTTCCTTCGCGATCCCACATGGAAACATAGTACATAAGCGAGGCACTTATAAATGCGCGAATATAGCATGTTTTTGCATGATAATCGCGGGATAATCAGGTTAATGGTAACAGGAACACGATACCCGCCGCATATTTGCCGACGATAAAGCTAATTGTCCGCGACACCTTTTAATTGCACCGCAATAAAATTTATCGTTGCGAAAAGTCGGTTATCTGCTGTCGGTCTCGAAATAAGTGTACAAAGAGAACCACAACGTTACTTTTATCGTTTTCCTCTGCGACATTATTTCGTACGTTTCATCCTGCTTCGTACTTTTTTTTCTTGTTAATTTCCTTTTTTCTCGAATCTTTAATTCGGCAGAATTTTTAAGTGAAAAGCGAGGAAATTAAAGTTCGAAACTTCATCATGCTCAAAGAAGGAGTGAATTGTATTAATTAGAATCGAAGTTACTTTGCTATTTCAGCTTCTGCCGCGTTGCAAAATTAAAGGTTTAACTTGGAGAGCTGAAATTTCGCCTCGGATTACCTAGTCACGCTGCATTCGGCTGGCGAGTATTATTAGCGCGAAGGGAACTTCGCGCGGAACAAAGGAGCGAGGACTTGCAGCGTTCCTTGCGTGCGAGTCGCGAAACGCGAGTGAAATTGAACGTTGCTGAGGAGACAAGACAAATATTTCTGGTGCATGTCGCAAGCTCCGGCGGTGTACCTTGCAATTTCCTGTTGCGACTTGCGCTCCCGATAATTACGGTAAATAAGCGCCGCGGAGCGGGCAATACGGCGGGGATATGTAACGCGAACGCGGTCATTTTTTTTATGCCGGCGATACTTCGCCTCGTTTTACTTTAATTTAGAAGAGCTTTCCTTCGCACAGGCCGCACCTGCGTGTGTGCCGTACGTCACGTCATATTGAAGCTGTGACAACCTTCGAATGCACCGACAGTAAAATCGAGTGATTTTCGTGGGAAAACGATGTTCTTTCCTTATTTGAACCACAAAAATAATAGCAGCAACATGCATGTAAAATTACTATCACTGACACTGTAGTAACGTTTACTAGAAAAATAGTTCTCACGACGATTTTGGTGCTTAAAATGAAAAAATGAATACATTGTTAACGCCAAATGAGACTAGAATGTTATAGAATTGACGTAGGGCGAAAATTTCGACTCAGGTAGACAGACGACCTGCCAGCCGGCCGTTCCGATTGCGGCGCGATTTGCTGCGCTCTCTCGGCTCCGACGTATTTCGCGCGGAAACGCGACGCAATTTAAGCATCGCGCGTGGGCGCTAAATGCGCGTGGGCGGGAGAAGCTCGCGCGCTTCGTCGAGATTCGACGGAATCTTTCCGCGTATTTCCCGACCGATGCACTTGCGTTTACGAAAGCGCGATTCAGCGTAAGTCGTCCTTGGTGAAGCTGAGTCGATTCTCTGACGCGCATATTTAATGGATATTCCCCGTGGAAAATCTCCTCCAATACTTGGCTTACTCGTGACGCGAGGAATCCGAATTAATTAATCAATATAATTAATCAATCGATTTTACTTCTTTTTCTTTGTAATTATCATCAATCGATATTATAATAATTAATCGATCGGGATGATTGATTATCGGGGGGAAATTCGGGGAGGAGCCTGGTGGGAAAATTTCGGGGCTGGCGGGAAGCGAGAAGCTTTCCAAAGACGACCGGGTTGGTTCCCGGTTGTGATTGATTCCGGCTTGCGCTAGTTGCCGTTTGCACTGACGTCAAGCTTGTACGATCTGTCGGATCGTCAATTATTGCTCTATCCGGTGGATCGTGCCGCTTAACTTCCCGTTCCCTTCTCCTGCCCGGCCGTTCTAAACACGTGCTGCTCTCTTATGTGTATCGGAGTAGACGACAATAATTTACCGTCGGTCTCATCTGCTCAGTTTTATCGGGCGGTTTTTGCACACTCGTCGCTCGATTAATCTCTATCACGCTATAAAATAGCATTGTCAGACAAATTACAAAGTATGTCGGTTTACCGCACCTATGCCAGTTTTCGTACTTTTTTTCTTTTCGATATGCAAAAGAAGGAAAAAGATTGAAGACTCGCAATAGACATCGCTATCGAGACAGACTACGGAGGGTGTGCGTACCGAAAGGAGGCGAACATTTAACGCGGATTGAATTTACGGAAGATTTCGTCGTCTTGTGATCTATTCTCGTCCACGCGATCCGCATCGATTATTCGCATCGTGGCTATCGCGAACGTAGAAATCGAGGTTAATTCACGTTTCATGGCACTGATTTCGGATACCGGCGACGTTGCAGGCGCACTGTCGATTAAATTAGCACCCGATCCTCCCTCGGAACGAAGACGTCGACGAGCCTATCCTATAAGCACGTAATATTCCCAGAATATTATATGAATATTATTCAATATTAAAATAACACTCTTAGAATGTTATACATGTATATGTAATACAAAAAAGTAATATAGAAAAACATAAAAATCATACATATATATATATTTTTTTTATTTTGATATTTTAATATTTTTATAATTTTTTTAGTATAAAATGTATTTTTATATAAAATTATTTTGGCTTTATATATATATATAATAAAACGATTAATATTGCAATACATTTGAAATAAAAATCTGCAATTATATGTATTAAATATTTACGTAGAGAAGGAATATTTAAAAAATGCATAATATTACAATAATATTAAATAATATTACTAGAATATTATTAGAATATTACATCTGATATCCTAAGAATATGCCGAGAATACTGCTTAATATTAAATAATATTACGCGCTTAGATATGCGAACCGGAGACAATGCGCGCATACCTCGTAGATTGAAGCGAGTCATCATTCAATAATCCGTCACGTACAATCGCCATGTGAGCTCCCAAGGACGAATCGAGATGAGATCTCGCGTATAGAATCCGCATTTAATATCTCGTCATCTTACCTTGATTGTGTGCCATCTTCTCTTCGGAGGAGCCACCGCCGTCGCCATCGCTGTTTGTGTGTCGCGCATCCAGTGTAAAAAATTTCTTGGGATCTAATTCGAACTCCCAGTCGAATTTTCCCGAGTAATGGTGGAAAATCTAGATTCTTGTTGAAAGCGCAATGTTTTAAACATTCAATTCTAAACGGGGAACGTAAATAGATCCTTTTATATTACGATTGAATAAAATATACGAAACGCTTTGAATATTTACACTTTACAAGTACACGCTGTATATGGAAAAATTCGGAAATATCTCTAAGTACACGGAAAAATACAAACTTTTCTTCGATGAAGTTTATAATATACCTGAAGAGAGAATAAATTCTTTTTTTCGGGCACGTGATGAATGAACTTTTCTGAAATTTGCGATAGTTGTATTTTAAGACTATTAAAAAAAAAATATTCCTCGTCAAAAATAACTCAAAGAGAGGAACGTAAACTCACAGTGATTGTTTTTCTTAGCGGTGGAATGATATTTTTCTCAGTGCGCGGGATGTGATTCTCGGATAGAAAGGGCATAGCGTCCCAGGTTGCTCCTTGAGGGATAACGAGCGTTTGCTTGCTTTTCCAGACGGCTCGTACTACCATTACTCCGTGTTCGAGGGAAGGTCGCCCGTCGACTCTCGATCGTCGCCCGTCAAACTGATGGACGGGGACGCGCACCTCGCGAGGAGACGGCGGGAAACGCCCGACAAATCAGTCGTGACGACCGAGCAGAAGGACGACCCGAAGGATCACCAGGCACAGCAGTCGCAGCAGCCACCGCCGGAACAACAGGCTCAGCAAGTACCAGGGCCGCAGCCACCGCAGCAGCCGCAGCAACAACAGCAGGAACAGAAGCCGCAGCAGCCTCCGGCACAGCCGTCGAAAACAACGAACACGACGAGCTCGCACGAAGACGTTACATACTCTCGTGATGCCTCCTCCACTCCGTCGTCTGTCGAAGCGCTCGACGTCAAGCCGGATCCGAAGAAGAAGGTGGCGGTGTCGCAGCCGATGAATCCCGCGACCGAGGACGCAGCGGTGAGTGCAGCGCGTCGACGAGCGATCGAGAGACTCCCATAAAGAAAAACTCTTCCCTGGCCGTATTATCATAAGACTTGATTTTCTTTAATAGCATACAGTTTAGGAGGGGAAGAGAAGATTGTTCAATGTTGATTCAATATTGTGCTTGCTGAGAAAATGCGGTTTTCTTTTTCTTCTTCTTAGTATACGGGAACCCTTTCTGTTCCTACAACCGAGTTTTCGTTTCGTCGGTCCCTGAGAATGAAAATTCAGTCGACGGAATTTCTTTTCGTATGTGCGGTGAAACGGACGAGACGATAATAAAGCGTCGTTCATCGTTAGGTGCCGCAAACACCGCACATCTGGGCCAATCGCACGATGTGGAGCAACGTGACGAGCAACGACAAGGAGTGGCATCGTGAGGACGGTAAGAACCAGGCGGCGAAGACGAAGGTGACGGAATTGACGCCGGTGGCGGTGGACACGACCGAGGAAGACAAGACGGAGAGCGACATCGGCGACATCTCCATCAGCAAGTTCTCCGACGTGACCAACACCACGCTCAAGCAGAACAACATCACCAGGACGGTCTACGACACGCATCAGTATTACAACAGCACCTTCACCGTCGACGCGAACATCTGCAAGAAGTACTGGGTGGACATGGACAATCATCCGGAGCTCAAGGTCAACCATCTTCTGAGCCAGAGCCATCGGCGCGCCGCGGTAAGATGGGCCGCGCGTGATTATAATCATTCTTGCTACTTTTGTGGTATGCAACTACACTGAGAAAGAGATTTCTTTCAATTTAATCGATTTTTCAGTGAGATTTCACTCAGGGAAATATGATGAGTCATTCGTTCGATTCTCGCACATCGTGACACTGTTAATCGCTGTACAACGTGGTGGATCGCGAGAAACGAACTGAAAGGCGATTTTTCCACATTTGCAGACGGTCAAGCTGAAATTCGACTTCCCGTTCTACGGGCACAAAGTCCGCAATATCACCATCGCTACCGGCGGCTTCCTGTACACCGGCGAGTACGTGCACAGCTGGCTGGCGGCCACCCAGTACATCGCACCGCTCATGGCGAATTTCGATACACGCCTGTCGAACGACAGCTACGTCAAGTACGCTGACAACGGTGAGTCATCTCGGATTCGCGGAGGGAGAGTGACTCTCTTTTGCGCCAGCCACACGCTCGTCCTTGCATTTTCCGCGGTTGTTCCAGCCGTCAACATACCGGAATCTTTCCGTTCGACAAAAATCGACCTCTTTTTTTCCTCTTCATGAGAAATTCAAGCAGATTCTGAAAATAGACGTGAAAACAACATACACGTGTCGCAGCGTTTCACCAGAAGTCATTTGCGTTTCTTAAATGTCAAACGTCTGCACAACACGGCAATTGCGTCAGCCAATCAGAATTCAGCTCGTTTCTCGACCGAAGATTCTTGACAAAATCGACGAAAAACTTTGGAAATGAATGAAAATGTAGAGAAAAATGATGCAAATCAGTTGTCTTTTTTGTGCAAAAATTAAATGTTTTAGGATTTTCGGCTGTTTTTTTTTTCTTTATCGACTTAGTATTACCGTATTCGGATTCAACGGTGCTCAGCAACGCAATATTGAAATAGGCGCCTCGCGAAGTCGCCTCGTCGACCGACCTGTCGATCCTTTCTCATCTCGAGCGTGTCGTGAGGCGTCATCGGTCACGGGAATTTAAAAAACAGCGTGACGATTCAAGCATCGTAATGACACCCGTTGCCGGTGGCGAAGAAACGGCGCAAAACGGTCGCGTGTCGAGCGCGGGCAGTCCGAGCGAGCGGAGAAAAAGACTTCTGTCGGGAGGCCGCGCAGGAGAGAGAGATTATATACATCCTTTGTAATCCGGCAGGTACCGCGTTCACCGTCGAGTGGGAGAAGGTGGTGCTGCAGGACAAGCCAGACGGCGGCGCGTTCACTTTCCAAGTGACCTTGCATCAGAACGGCGACATCGTGTTCGTCTACTCGGTCATACCGGTGGTGGTCGAACAGATCGAGGACAGGATGCATCCTGTCAAGGTTGGGCTAAGTGACGCTTACATCATGGACAGGACCGTGTTCTGTGAGTTGAGCTACTCGCTGCTAGATTCAGCCGTTCTTCTTCCCGGCGCCCGTCGCATAATCATCGGTTATCGGGGAATAATGTTGCCCGCGTTATCGCGCTGCCAGTCGATTTCGCAATTTCGTCCGGCGCACACGCGGTCGTACAAAAATTTACATGCATACATAGATACTGTATAGAGTGGGTAGAGGAGAGAGAGAGAGAGAGATAAGTGGAACGAATTTATTCCAGCTCGAGACGAGTTATTGCAAAATAATCCTCATAGTTGTAATTGCTGTTAGACGCGCGTCTAAAATTAAGAAAACGTAGATACCGGATGTTTACATATATATATTTCTTCATTTCACGCACTTCTCTAGATAGTCGGGTATCTCCGCTTAAATGAAACACCCTATACGTATTGTTTATTATTATTAGAAGCGTTATTAGCTTATTATCCGATGTTGAAGTGTCCTATCGCGTTTATACGCACGTGAAAACGAATCGGCTGCGCTCCCCGCCGAGCGAACACTCGATTAATCCTTCGTCTCTCGCTTCACACAGTCGTCCGGCGGAAAACCATCTACGAGTACCACCGGGTGAACTTCAATCGGCAGGACATCATGAATTGCACGGTCATCTACTTGAGAGCGTTGCCCACTTGCCTCGACATCGACAACTGTCAGGACTGTCTGACGAAGGTGCCGGAGTTCGACTGCAAGTGGTGTTCGGAACTGAACCAGTGCAGCACCGGGACCTTCCGCTCACGACAGGACTGGGTGCTGAAGGGCTGCGAAGTGCGTAATGTCAAAGAAGGCGAGCACTGCCCCGACCATGCGAAGACGTTCAAGGGTGAGGAGTACGACCACGACGGCCGCGTGCATCCCGAGGAGGCGATCACCGCTAATGAGATGAGTGCGAAGCAGGAGAGACCCGACACAAGTGCCTTGGAGAGCTGTAAGTCCGTCCGTCCGTTTGTCGCGAGCGACAGCTCTCGAGCGGTTTTATCGCCCGAAAACTACTTGCCCGACTTCCTTCCGCGTGTTTTATCGCGTTCGAACATCTGCGTGGCTCTCTTCCGGAAGGCCTACGAGCGCGTAATCCTGGAATATTATGGCGAATATTCTAAGAATATGTCCCGAATATTGCTTGATATTAAATAATATTACGCATTCAAATTGTCTCGTACTGAATCGAAATCGTTATTCTTTCTATTTGCAGCTCGCGGCCATATGAATATGAGCGTTTCGGGAATAATCGGTATCCTCACCATCGTCGCTTTACTGGTGGGTCTCGCTGGCTGGGGTGCGTACGCTTATCGCAACCCTCACAGTGCATCTGGACAGATGTTGATAAGGGTAAGAGAAGTAACTTGAAGTAACTGATCCGTGACAATGCCGTTAGGAAAGCGATAATTGATGCAACACGAAGAAATCCGGCCAATCTGTGCCAAGTCTTTACAAACACGATTTCTGACGTATCGCTTTGACACTACAGCAAGACAGGGACTGGATAATAACTAGTTAATTAGATAAGAAATTTGAGTTGAGATTCAATTGTTCATTAATCAAATTAAAATATTTGGAGAAATAATGACATTCGAGGGAAAAGCAAGCAGCGGTCGTGACTGCTGGTCTCTTATTATTTGCTCGTCGTTCTTATCTGTTATCGATTCGCTTATATCGATTTCACTGTCGATTGTAACCATCATTTGTCTCCATTAATTGCCTCTCTTACTGATTAAATTATCGGTAAGATTTTAAATTACCATGCATAATTAACTTGTCGCCTATTGATCTCTTTTGACCTCGGGATTGACCTTTCAGTACCGTCCAAGCCAATGGAGCTGGCGAAGAGGCGAGGCTCGTTACACGGCCGCGACCATTCACATGTGATGATGAGAGACGTCAAACGGGGATCGAGTATACAGTCAATAAACGAAACTGTCGGACCAAACTTCCTATTAACTGTACAGCGTATCGAGTCTGCGAGTTGAAAAAACAGGTCCCGAGCACACACGTTCGCTCGCGGGACACGGCCGCCGCGCTGCCTGCTCGTCAGGTTTTTACACATTCAATCACATCGGATAATCATATTCTCTCACGATGACGACAACGCAACGCGACGAAGCGGAAGTGAATCGGCGTCTTAGACGGACTTTTTGACGGAGACCGCGGTGCGTGTGCCTAGACTGACGCGCGTCGACGGAGCGCGCACGGCCGCTTCACAAATTGCCGGATTTTTCGCGTCCCGTTCGAATCGATCGGACAAAATTCAAACTAATAATCGGAACTAAACGGAGTGTGTCCACTCCTTGGGCAATTTTACAAACATCCAGGGCTCTACCGTTCCGTCAGGTCAGTCGTCAAAAAGATTGCGACGCATTTTCCTCACGGAGTTTCGAAACACAACCCGTGTTCAATGGGACGATTTGTGCTTTTTTGCAGCGATTATCGAGAGATACATTTTCTTTGATCTATCCGACACGAGATTGCGTTGCGAAATTCATTGAAAGAAAAAAAATGTCTTGCGACCTTTTCGTAATTGACCTGAAAACGTCCGTCGTCGATTTGGTGAGTATCGTTGCGCAGGTATAATCGAATCTTATAAAATAGCTGCGCGACGATACACACACACGCATATACCGAGCCGACAAAGTTTGTCAATGAACGTCTGGAAACACAGGATGTACAACTTCGACTTCACGAAGCTNGGGGGGGGGGGGGGGAGGCTTGCGGCGAGACTCGTCAGCGACGTGAATTCTGCGACGAGAGCTTTTGCCGATGCGATCGAACGGAATCCACGAGAGGGACAGCTTTCCACGAAAGACAAGCCGCTTCGCGCGAGTCGTTCGCGACGGCAGAAGCGCAAACTTCGACACGTTCGCGACCGGTGAGGCTCTTCTATTCCGTTACTTTTAATCGTTACGATTTCACCGCCGTTACGTTGTAGATGAGCAGATTTTTTTGTTTTTTACGATGTTGTATCCGCGCAATAATAACGTAACGACGACGGCAGAGTATCGTTGAAAGTTACGGAACCAGAGGCTCGCAGAAAGTTTACTCTGGGAAACTCTTCCTCCCCGCCGACTCGTGTTTTCGCTTGTAACGCAATTTTATTGTATGACGGATGTTAGTTTATGCAGACACACAGACATCACGAAACGTAAAACCGGGACATAAGACGTCTTATGCTCCGGTTTTAGGTTTTGTGCCGGTCTGGGGACACAGAGGAAAATTGTACACCGCCACGCATGTGTGACGCTGACTGTATCCTGTGAGAGAGAGACCGGCCACACGTGCGCGCGACGCCGGTGGCGAACGTGTTGAAATATAATCGACGACTCGAGCTCTGCCGAGGCTGTCCAACGAACGAGGGTGGATCGTAATATATATCGAAGTAAACGGACGATGCCCATCCGCGCCGAGCATTTATGTGATTCTCATCGCAGCGTGCGGCATACCTTGTTATTGTTTAAGAAGCCCGTTTTTCTCTTAATCGTTAGATAAATCGCAGCAATTTTATTCGTTTTCGTGCATGCAATGCGTTCAATGGGGTGAGAAGAATACGATGTTTTTAAGTGAAAAGGGAGGAAAAAGTAATCGAAGAAAAGAAACGAATTGACGTGAGAATAAACTGAATGTTTTTCGAGTGTGCCGATCTATAGCGCGCTGAAGCTGCAGTTCATCGAGCTCTCCGTTCGAGCGAATCGTTCGATAGGAAAAGAGAGAAAGAGAAGAGAAATTATTCTGAATTGTGAGTTCATTCAGCTCACGTCGCGGTCGAGAAAAAAATTCGAGATCTCGAGATCATTCGGACTGCTGTCGCTACATTCCAAAGAACACGTTTTCGAGAATGGATCCATGTGAAGCGCCGAACTGTAGTTTCAGCGTACTATTTTATGTCACGGGGAGAAACACACACACACAGACCACAGGCATATACAAACATATCTATAAATAAATACATATAAATGATTATATATATATATAATGACTATATATACAAATATATTTTACGACGAGATTTTTGGAAGATCACACACATACACACACACAACACACATGAGCAACTTATATGTTACACGTAAAATGATAAAAGTGAAAAAAAAAATTAAGAATTCAGGAGAAGAGCCGGAGGAAAGGAATTGTGAGAAATTTTATAGTATATCTTACACGGTAAATATTAGGTCGTGAAAAATGTATATAGTAGTTTTATGAAAAGCAATATAATTTTTATCTAATTGTAAGTATATATATGTAATTCAATGTCAAAACACACGGTGCCTTTCTTCATGAACTTTCAGCCGCGACGGCATCACGTCGTCGTGTACAGCAAAAGAAGAAAAAAAAAGAAAAACGACGCGAGGGGTCTGAGGGAAAATCTCACTGTTCGTGGACGAGACGCGATTTCCCTCCGGATCGGCTCACACGATTCCGGAAGAATCGTCTCGATTCTCCTTGCGAGATCTTTCGAAGTGGAAACGAAGCAATTGTAAAAAAAAGAATCTTAACGGTCTGCCTGTTATGTTCGTAGCCGTATAATGTTGCACGGACGGCTCGTCACGCGACTTGAAACTCGCGATTTGGCGATTTCATCGCCAACGACGAGTCAACCGAGGAGACGTGAGAGAGAGAAAGTGAATTACCGTCGAGCTTGCGAACAGCTTTTTCTTACATTACTGTGTACGATGTAACTCATAGTTTGTGATAATAAATATTATAATTATTATAGTAGCGCTTTCTCCAGGATGTTTTTCACTCGAGTTACCCTTCCCTTTTTTTATTAGCCGTCGCAGCTGTTACACGGCTATTATTTCAACTAAGATAGCTGTGGTTGCATTTTGACTTTTTAATTAGCCGTCGCAACGATTTTGCAAGATAACATTCGCAGCTGAATTGTAATTGCTAATTGTAATTAAAGTCGGCAGGATGTTATACTAATTACGTTTTTGCTGTCGCAGCGAACATAGATTGTGTTACTTGGGGGATTTTACTCAGTCTGATATTTGAAAAATCCGTTACATACGTACGTATGTAACGCGTCGTACTTACAGTCGATAACGAGGCTGTAGTTCCCCGTCTCGATAATCAGATGACACTATGTGTATTGAATCGCGCACTTGCGCAAGTGTTACCTGTTAAGGTAGTTCTGCATCGGTTGGAAGCAACTTCTGTTGCGACAATCAATCAGGAGCGTCGATACAATCATTGAGTGAGAGAGAGAGAGAGAGAAAGAGTTATATATTTTAGTAAAAGATGGTTATCAATTTAGAGCAGATATATATTCCGAATGCTAATGCGAAATCAAGGCACACAAATAATGCAACTGTCGGCAATTTTATAATATTTATTCACAGTAACATTTATATATTTATATGTGCGATGTTCATTTATATTTCTCCGTATTCTATGTTTCGTAGCATCCAAGTCAACGCATTATCTACGCTTATCTGTAAGTACAAAAGTCGTTAATATCATTTCTAAAATTTTATATCTATCCTAGTTATAATATCCTGTTGTTCGCCACTATAAGAGGGAAGAGGAAGGATTATAACTAGAAAAGAATATATCAATGTACATTTTATAACATATAAGCATACTGTACCTCTTTTTCTCAAAAACTTGTAGCGCCGCAGCGGAGGCGATCATAAACGATTGGGAATTACATGTACTTCTCAATCAGTTACGACAATAATGTTTAGATATTTCGATTCCTTACTAATTTCGAATAAATGAGTGAAGAAAAATGTTGGTGACTCGTAATAGGTAAATAATAACAACAATCATTTGTTTACCATCGACTTGTACACATTCCATATTAATGGCTCTGTCCATCCCCTTCGGACAAGGACTTAGAGGAACGGAGATGACATTCGCAGCCGTCAGAGTAAAAAGAGTTGTCATCAATGAAATAATTAGACCTACGACGATTTTGCTGATACGAGAATTCTCCATATTTCCGGCGATCGAGTTGCTGTTGGCTGAAGAGCAAACGAGTCTGTAATCTTACGAGGCGAAGAAACTCGCAGTATGTAACAACCGGCATGGAAAGCTCATTTTTATATTCTCCGGAGTTATAAATGCAAGGCCGATAAAAGTTATACATAGATTTACATCCTCCGCTTTATTACAATGCACGTGGGAGAGGGATATTATACGTCCTTACATTTTACGCATCAAACGTGTTCACTGAAAATTACAAGCGTACCGATATATTTTTTAATGCTACGTTTGAATTTTTATACATTTTCTCTATTATTTCTCGATATTTATTACTCCATGTATATAGGCGGTAATTTAATACCCGCAGATCGATCGATTTTCCCACGATCGGTCCCGTTGAATTCGCGGCGTCCCGACATCCCTCGTTCACCCCCCGTCGATGTCCCGAGCGTTCGTCATTGCGAGACCTTAGAACCTTGGAAATCTCCGTCGCCAACGCGTCCCGACGCTATCGCAACTATTTAGCTTCGCGAGGAAATCGCTCACGAGGTAAAGCCCGCAAAGCAGCGCACACGGCACGCATACGGAACGTGCGTGCAGCGCTCGTAACACGTCTTATCTCGGGCCGCAAGTGCATCGAAACATTAAACCAAAAATATCAAAGATAACACGTTAAATAACGCGAGGGAATAATAATAATAATATATATAGTTCGATTTTTTTAATATTATTAGGAATGTATATATAAACATCTATTAATATACCGGAAATATTACTTAATATTAAGTAATATTACGCGCTTATGGGGATTGTACGAGTTTTATGCGTAGTATTCTCGGCGTGCGCGTTATTAATAACAAAGCCGCTATTGAGAAACGACGTCGATCTGCGCCGTGGAAGTGAGTTTTATCCAACGACATCTTTTACAGTGGCTCCTTAGAGCTCGCAGCTTCCAGTATGTGTGTGTGTGTATGACTTATTCAGAGCTAAAAACGTGCTGCGTCAACTTTTTAACGGACCCTTCGCGCGAGGGGATGAACAATTCATACGCATCTTTCGCGTGGGACGTTTGTGCGCGCGCGATTACTTCGTATATATTTCACGTGGCTCGCGCGCGCGAAGAGCTTTGACTCTCTCGCAAAACGGAAAAAACGAGTCCGCTCGAGAGGACGTCAAAGGACGTGGAACGCGCAGGGCGCGAGCGTATGCAAATTGCACGGTTTTAGCGAGCGTCGTAAGATAGGAGACACTTTTTTGCCGCGGCGAAGTCAAATACGAAGAGCGAGCGGCGCGTCCCTCAACGTGCTTGCCTGCTTACTTATTGTTAATTCAACCGAGCTACCAGCTTAAAACGGTCTTTGCTTAACGCGCGTGTTTGACTTCGCCCTCGGGTCCAGACAGCCGTCGACGAGTGCGACAGCATCCGTCCAATTGTGTGCATCGTCGAACTCGGAATTGCGTAGCAAGACGACTGAGCCACGTCGGGCATTGAACGCTGGGAAAGAAATGCTTCGCTATTGGAAAAAAAAAGATTATTTCAGCTTGATCGCGATGGCCCTCGGAT